TACACAGGCAGAACTTCCATCATCTCCATGCTCCCTCCCACCTCGGAGAAGTCAAGAATGTGTGGGTTCCTCTGTCTGCCTCCTTTCCAAGTCCTGAAGATGATGGGTAGCTTCTGCAGTCTCCCTTCCCTTCCCCCCTCTCTCAGGGGCCATCAAAATCCTTCCTAGACAACTAGAGATTTATCTACCTCTTAACTATGTACTAGTGATTGATAAACAGAAAGCTAACAAGTCCATCCTTTGAAACTGGGGGGGAAATATCACTTCTCCATAAGGTAACTCAGATACAGACAGCTGCTCACATGGGGATTCATCACAGGTAGCACGCTTGTCCTCGCTGTGATGACAATGACCTTTCAGCCTAGAGAAGGTATCTGTGTAATCAGAGCCGGATCAAGCTCCCTGACGATCAGAGTGGCAGAGCACCCTCTTTCAAACAAGTGGGGTGGTCAGTGGAAATGGACTGGCTGCTCTGCCACTAAAGCATGGAAGAAGGAATGAAGAGTTCTTTCTTAAGGTTGCTCGAGGCTTGGTGAGCCAGGGGATATGGTGGTCTATAATATAGTTTCTGATTGTTGCTGTGTGTCACTGAGTTATAAGAGTTGACACTGGGTCTGGGGAGCCGACCCAGTGAATCAAGGTTCTTCACAGGCATGAAGACCTGAGTTCAGATCCCCAGCAACCACATACCAAAGCCAACCCAAGAGGGTGGTGATGGGTGAATCCTGGGGTCTGGTAACCAGCTATCCTATGCAAAATGGTGGGTCCCAGGTTCAATGACAGACCACTGCCGAGCGCCAGCTCAGATGTAGGGAAGATGCAGATACCTGTGTACTAACCCATGGAAGTCACGGAACCATCAGTTCAGGAAGAACTTCTGTCACAAAGGAGGACACTGAAGTCCTGGGAGGTTGAATAAGTTGCTCAAACTCACACAGCATGAGAACCGAAGAACCAAGAGGTCTCTTCTAGAGCTGTGCTCTAGTTAACCTGCTCTATAGAGGACAGGCAAATTCAACTGTACCTGTCCTCACTGAGACATATTAATTCTTTCCCTCCCCGGCTCCCTCTCTCTCTTCCGCGCCCCTCCCCCCTTTCTTCTTTCCCACCCTCCTGGACAAAAGCTACATGAATTGAAAGTCTAAGAAAGACTGGGTACTGGCTGTCCTAAGAGTGGAGGAGGACAAAGTGAAGGGGAAAAGTTTACTTGGGAACATGTTTTGAGAAGGAACTGGTAAGCTGGGCACAGTGGCCCAGTTACAAGTGCAGGACTCTGCAGCTGATGCTAGCGGATTGTGAGTTTTGCAGCCAGCCTGGGCTATCTAGCAAGACCATGCCTAAAAGACAAAGCAGCTGCCATCAAAATGGGACCATAATGAAGACACCACCTCATACTGACCTTGGTTAAAAGGTAGTTAACAAATGCCAAGGAGGGGGTTCGGGGACTGGAACCTCACTGGTGGCAGGGATAGGAAATGACTAGGAACTTCAGGGATGGCCTTGTCTGCTTTTTGGTGCTGTGATAAAGACCATGGTTGAAAGCAACCCAGGGAAGACAGCAATTACTTCATCTTATAACTCTCAGGTCACAACGCATCACTGAGGGAAGTCAAAACAGGAATTCAAGACATGGAGGAGGAAGCCATAGAGGAACACTGCTTACTGGCTTGCTTGCTGGGGTCATGCTCAGCTTGATTTATTATACCTCCCAGGACCATCTGCCCTGGCATGGCACTACCCACCCTGGGCTGGGCCATTACACATCAATCATTAATCAAGAACATACCCCACAGATTTGCCTACAGGCCAATCTTATTGGGAATTCTCTCAACTGAGGCTCCCTCTTCCCTGATGACCTTAGCCTGTGCCACGTGGACAAAAAAACTAACCAGCATAAGGAAGGGATGTGGCAGTTCAGTTCCTCAAAAGTTAAAGAGTGGCCATGTAAGCCTCCTCAAAATAAACCTAAGAGAAATACACACAAGTTCACACACATACATGTACAGGAGTGCACGTATGTGCACGAGCACACACAAGCAAACAGTTCAAGAATTTATGTAACAGCATCATTCATAAAAACCCCAAAGTAGAAATGACCAAATGTCCATCAGATGACAATAAATAAAATGTGAAATGCTATTTGGCAGTAGAAATAAACGAAATAGTGACACTTATGACAACCCTGGTGAACACAGGGAAGATCGACCAACTCCACATACTGGAGAATTATTTCACCCACACTCCGTGAACAAGAGACGAAGACACAGACATGGAAAGGAAGGATGCGGGCCAACACTTAACTGGGCCTGCTTGTACGCATTCAGAGGAACAGCTCCAAACAGGTAGACATGTCCTTGGGGGTAGACAGTATGGTGGTCACCTAGCTTGGTCAATATGTGAAGCAACATGGCACTGTCTAAATAATGAATTTGATAGTGTGAAAACCATATATCAATGAAGCCTAGTAATTCCCTACTAAATAAACTGCCATGTGCATCAGGAACGGCCACGTCTTTGTGCCTGAGAAGCAACAGCTGCAGAAGTAGCAGAAACTCAAAACCATGGGTTCAGAAAAAGAAAATATCTGAAAGAAAGAACATAGAAGGAAAGAGAGAGAAGAAAATAATCTCTACTTAATTGAATTTGTATTTGTTAGGTATGTTAAGGGTCTATCATATCAGAAGCATGGACATTGTAGGTGGTCTCCAGAATTCCAAATCCAAGCCTTCTTTCCCCAAAGCTATCAGCTCTAGAAATCAGGGAGGGCATCGGTGGAAAGGTTAGACAATACTGGCTTTTAATTTTCCTCTATACTTCTCGGGGACTAGATTAAAAAGGCCACAACCGTGTCCCCTGGTGTCCTGTGTTCCAAACTCATAAAATATGAATATTTCTTTGACGTCTAACCTGGACATGGTTTTCCGTGTGAGTTCCCAAGTCTGACTCACGTGTAATGAGGAGAAACCCAGCCTTAAGGTTCCAGAACCAAGTGTAAGGCATCGATCGGCAGGCTCATGTGCTCATCCTGAGCATCACACTGTCCTGCAGAAAACTCCTGCTCTCACTAATGCAGGAACTCGTCCAAGAGAAAACAGGGAGTCCAAGGCTAACGGCAGATACAACTTTAACAGTTATTGTTTTTTTTCTGAGATGGAGAAATATGACATTCTCGAGGCTTTTAACTTTTAGACTATCACCAAACTTCTTCCTCTCAGTGTGCCTTAAACATCTTTTGTGTAAAAAATCAAATTATAGCTTTCTTCAAGAACGGGTGAGCCATTAATTGCTCCAATGTGTCTGCGGTTCTGGAAACAGTTTCTTAGACAGGAACAAATGATAGCTATTATGTTGTGCACAGAGAAACTCAGTTTCAGATCCCATGTGACACGGAGAAGCATTTAAGGAATCCTGTAAATTCAACTAACAACCCTAGTGTTTACAGAACCCAGGGTAACTCCTGCATGCCCTGCTTCCCACTCCTGAATCTATATTTTCCGTATTAAATGTTAATTGAGAGATACCTTACATGACTCCGAGCATTCTTCCATAGTGCAAACATCCTTGGAGATCAAGTTTAGCAGTGGTCCTCTGACTCAAGGTCAGAGTACAGGCCTCTCCCTGGGAGAATGGTTGAGCTCAAGGAAACAGCAAATACCTCTGACATGCAGGGTGGGGACTTTTCTAAGAAGGTAATGGCCTCCCTTCATGAAAACACTGCTATTTTCTGGCCTGTTTTTCATAAGCCTCTGGCATTTCCCCTCCCAACCTGTTTGCCTGGAGGTTGACAAATGTCCTTGTCTGTAACAGCTGGTGTTGATTACAGGGGGCAAATTAATTGTATATTTCACCAATAGGTGATATGACAGGAAAGCCTGTCTCTAAAGAAAACAGGACTGCACAGCCAAGCAGGGGATTCCATCTCAGTTGTCTGCTCATTGAAAAAAAAATCTGTCCTTCAGTTGCAATAATAGTTTGGATTGGGCTAGTCCACTCAGAGCAAGCGCCTGTCATTTCTCTCACTTCCTGCCACCTCCTTCCGCCCCCCACTGCCTCCAGGAGCCCCATCTCAGGAAACCTGTGAGGAAAAAGGACCCACCTCTCAGGCACCTCTGTAGAAGCCTGCACTCAAGGAGGGTAGTTTTCTAAACCAGTGGCTTGTGCTAGCAATTATGAGTAATACAGCTTGTAGCCTCTGGTAACTCCTCTCGCCAAAACATTGCTTATCGACTGTGCTGAATTGGGGTAATAGTGTTTATTTCTAGTCCTGGCCCCGGTGATCGCCAGCAAAGCCCCTTTTTGCAGTGCCGTCCTCAGCACACCGAGCAAAGGCCAACACAAGAGTGGAAAGTAATTCTAACTTTATGGCTCTTCTTGGCTTCCTGGGCATCGCTGCTATTCACCACGGCGACCACCAGTCAGTTTCTCTCTAGATGACAGCCCCGTCAGAGCCAGTATATTGAATACTATTTATGGTCTGTGTAAACTCACCAAGGGGAAGGGGCTCCCCAGAAGGGCTGAACCCCGACTTTGTGCGAGCCGTTCGCAAAGGGTCAAGTGCAGGCGGGTAACTTGACCTGACTCTTGATACACAAACACTCGCGCCAGGTATGTATACCTGATGCTCACAGAGAAGCGCAGAGCTGAGTTATCAGATCTTCCGGTTCCAGACAGGTGCCAGGGCGGGTCACTGACAAGAATGTACCAGCTCTGCCCTCCAAACCTCACTTCCCAAATTCTCCTGGGAGAAGTCTGTCAGCTCACCACTGTGAACCCTCTCCAGAACCAGACTCTTTGATATTCCCCAACACACTGAAACCTCTCCTGCTTGTAACCTCCTTCCCTGTCCCCAAGCGACGGAAAACAAAACTTAGTAGGTCCCTGTATAAGAGGTGCTGCACGGACTTTCCAAGCAGAGGTGCCCCGGAGGCAGCGCTGGGTCTCCCATACGCCTCTCGGGCTCCCCTCCCCCACGTCCGCCAGGGACCCCCGGGGTCGCTCACCTGCGTGGGGCATGGTGATGGTCTCGTTGGTGTTGGAGCCCACGTTGAAGATGACCACGGCCGAGGCGTTCTGCAGGAACGCGTTCCGGATCTTATCCCTGTAGGTGCAGTTGCCCTTGGGGATGAGGGCTATCCAGTGCTTGCCGTGGGCCGGCGAGGCGAACTTGGTGTTGGGGTCGCAAGCCAGGCGGTCGTGGGCCGAGCTGGCCATGACCACCTCGCCGCGCGCGTCCTGCTTGGGCGAGTGCTCACCGTACCGTCCGCACTCGGTCTTCTCCGTGTGCAGCTCGGCGCCGCCGCCGCCGCCCGCCACCGCGGCCCCGGGCTCGGGCTCCGCATAGGTGATGTTCACGAAGGCGGTGTACCATTCCTCCTTCTCCGCCACGGTGAAGTCCAGGCAGAGCAGATGCACGAAACAAAAGGAAAGCAGCCATGTTGAGAGAGCCAGACTGCGGCACGCTTGGATGAGAGACATTGCCATCTCTCTCCTCCGGGGTCCCCTCCCCGCCCCCTGTGCCCTCCTCCCGCTCCGTCCCTCCTTCCCCAGCCCGGGCCAACCCCGGGTCGGCCGCTTGGGTCCTCCTGTCGCTGCGGCTCACTCCCGGGCCGGCGGGGCCCCAGCTGGGACACGCAGCCGCTGCGGAGACCGGATTCCGGGCGAGCGGGCAAAGCCGGCCCTGTCCCCTCTCAGCCGACGCGCGGCGCTGGCATCCGGCTTCCCGGGTGGTGATCGCGGCCCCGACACCGAGCGGACGCTGCAAGCTTGCAGGGGAATCTGGCTGCCGGGCGTCCTGCTCCTCTCTGCCCTGCGTCGCCTTCTCTCATAGGGGTGGCGGGGGTCCTGGAGTTTGGAGAGGTTGGCGGCTCTGCTCGTCGCGGCCGGGCGGGGCGGGGTCAGGTTGCTCGAGGTCCCTGGGGCTGGGACTGTCTGTCCAGCTGCAGTCGCGGCGGTCGCTCCGGCTGCGCGTGGGTTCCCCAGGGTAGTGGGCGCTGCGCTCCTGGCCTGACTAGGTGGCTACGCCCGGGACGCTCACTTGTCGAGGGAGGGGACGGTCCCCGGTGGATGGGATGGGGGGTGGGGAGCGTGCGGACAGGGGTACAGCGATTTGTGCGTGTCTGTGTATGTTGTGTGTGTGTGTGTGTGTGTGTGTGTGTAATGAGTGCGTGCAAGGAGGAGCTTAGTGTGATGTCAAAGCTCCTGGGCTCCCCTTGCCACGCTCACTCTGTCTCTCTTCCTGGGCGTCAGCGACCTCTGCCGGCCCTCAAATTCAGTCTCATCTTGCCGCTTAGATCAGTTGGGGCGAAAGGCCAGAGCCTTAAATAAAGAAAAGTGTTTGTACCTCTCTCGAACAATCTTTCCATTTGCTGGAAGATGTGCAGAGGGTCCCAGGGCTGGTTGGTCACGAGGCCCTTGCCTCCCAATCCTGAATTGCCTCCTAGGACAATGGCTGTTAGAATCCCATTTTAAAAGCAGGACTGATTCGCTCTAGTGCAGGAGAGTTTCAACTATATTGGGTCGGGATGGGGTCCCTGGTGATGAGCGCTTGCTGGTCTAGGAACCAGTCTGTGGTGTAGATAGAGACTTCTCTCCTCTCCTCTGGAAGCCAATATGTGGCGTTTGTTTTCGTAGAAAATGCATCTTTTCTCAGACCTTAAGACTCCGAATGGGACGTTTTGCCGCTGTGTTTTCTCTAGGAGCCATGAGCTGTCATAGAGGGCTCCCAGCATCAGCAAGCAAGGGAGGCCTTGTTTGGTTACGGTTTGAAGTGTGTTCTCCAGCTGTGCACGGAGATGAAAACAAGCCAGCGGAGAAGAGTTTCCCCTGAGTAGTGTTCTAACAGAAGAGTTCTTTACCAATTAGATGTCTGGGTGGTTGGTACACCCCCTCACCAATGATTTCCATAGCTTCAGACACCAGTAATATAAAGTGCTTGTTTGTTTGTTTGTTTGTTTATTTATTTACATGGTGGTTCTCAATCATCCACATTATCCTTCCCACAAGGTGCTCTTTCAGAGAAACGATGCCCAATTCGTTAAAAGAAAAAAAGAATCCCCTTTTCCCCAGGACCTTAACATGTCTAAGCTTTCCTGTCTACTTACCATCATAGCTTCTCTTACTTTGGGCAGCCATACAGGCAGCTGGTGGCTGCTGGGGGAGCAGAGAGAACCCCAGCTGTATCCAAATTAGAAGCAGGCACAAGAGCGACTTAGAAGACTCCGTCTCCATGGTACTTGGTGTGCTGGATTTGTATGTGCTTCTAGCTTATGCATTCTTTTTTTTTTTTTTTTTTTAAGGCTTTTAGGTAATTAGAGCAGTGCTTTTTATGTAGCGCCCAATGCTGAGGAGGTGGAGGTGGCTGCTGGCTCCCAAGCACCCCTGGATCTGGGGGAAGAGCCTATTAGCTACAGGTCCCCAGGCAGACTCTTCACTGGAATGAAGATAGTAATTGACTAAAACCTAATGAATAAGAAGTTAACTTATGCTAATATAAATAAATGATGATATGCTGATATAAATAAACGATGAAGCAAACAACATATGGAGAAGAAACTGCACTTCTGAATGGTGGGAATGCCTGCTCATGGGAGTAATGGTGATAGGAAGGCTCCATCTGACAGAGTGTTGGTAGCTTCAGGTGGAGTGATGGGTGGATAACAAAGCTGTGGGGGTAGGTATTCCATGCAAAACAGGGTGTTGGCCAAGTATCTTCTGAAAAATACTATTTTACAAGGAGTAGCTACTATTTACTGAAGAGAATTTTGGAAGACTCAAAGCAGATGGAGGGATCGTGATACAGATCACGAGCCATAGAAGGAATCACAGTGTGTGCCCCCTAGTGAGATGCACAGAGAAGTCACAGCAGCATTTTGTCACCATACACACACCCCGGGTCTGTCTGCACACCGGGAAACACAAACAGGCTCTGGATCTGTCCTACGAAGTGAAAGGCTAAGCGAACACTCTTAAACTAACGGGAGACAGAACTAGCAGGTCCCACTTGAGGAGAATCGGTTGTCAGGGCTAAATCCAGCAAAGGATTCTGAATAGGATCCTGGAGTTGGTGGGAAAATAAATAATTGGGATATTCAAATGAGGTCTGTAGACTGCACAGTATGTTTATGAGGTGATTTCCTGATTTGGACGTTTACATCACAGTTTTATGGAAGAACATTCTCAGGAGGGGCCACTGTGTGTCCAAGGTATTGAATACTGATGAGACAGTCTGTCTGCAATCTGCTTTTGTATGGCTCTGAGAAAAGAATTAACTAGAAAATCTTGGTTTCCACTAGGCAGGCTTTCAGGGAAGCTGGAATTCAGTTCGAACATACTAACAAGCTTCCAGCCTTGTACTGACCATGGTTTCCTCCCAGCTCAACTCCTCACAACTCCAGTGCGATGACTTGGACCACTGAGCTGGTGGCTCCTTGAAAGAGAAAAAAACCTTGCTGTCTCCTCTCAACACACAACATCCTGATAAAGGAGGCACACAGCAGTCTTTCGTTCAGTGATAACACTGATTATGTTTATCTATTATTGCGCAGCTCTCCAGGGTTGGAGTAGACAACGGGGAGCTGGCAAGACTCTTGCATGCATGGTGGAATGGGAGAAAACAGAATTCTAAAGTTGTATGTAGATTGTGCCACGTTAACGACATGTTACAATGGGGGAAAGGGCGGTAGATTGGGGGGAGTGGTTTATTTTACACAGGTGCTATTTTATGTCAGAGTCAACTGCGCCGACAAGATGATGTCTAAATATAGTCTCCAAAGAGTGAAGGATGTCAATGATAATTTGGGACCAGTTGTCGGTAACAGGAAGAAGGAGACAGACAGGATGGTGCTTGATGCTCCAGAATGAAAGTGAGCTCTTGGAGGGTGGAGAGGAGTGGGAGAAGTGGACCGTGAAAGAATGGGATCAAGGCGACGGGAGGGAGAGTGTTTGTAGCCTTGCAGTTGAGTTTGGGTGAGGGGAGAAATTTGGGAGATTTTTAGAATGAAAAGTGGGGCATTATATGAGAACATCAAAGATTCATTCCGACAGCACTAGAGGAAGTGTAGAAGCAAGGGGAGCAATTAAGGAGCTACAAAAATAATTTGGGAAATCTCGAAGAGTGGCTTGTCCTGGGCAAGTGGCAGGACACACTGAGGAGTGAATGGCTCCGTGGAGTGTTCTAGAGGAGGATCAAGCACTGTGTGCTGATGCATTCTATGCGAGTAGGAAAGACAGACAGAAGTGAGGAAGCAATTGGAGTTGTCATTTTCTAAGATGAGCAAGATTGTAAGAAGAGCTTTGGGGTTAAGAACTTAAGGTTTAGATATATTCAGTTTAACATGCCCAGAGGTATCAAGGCGACAATTTGATGTAATTTACCACAGTATTAGGTCTCAGAAGAGAGAAAGTTAGGTCAGAGTGTATGAAGAATTTTCATTATGGTCACACTAATAAGATGGCCAAATAGTGTTTTTAAAGGTTGGCCTTACCAAGAACCAAAGTAAAGCAGACTCCTTGAGGCAGTTCCTAAAATAGGACTCTTCAGGAGCCACAGCACCAGCCGGCCGGGTGGAAATGAAAGGTCACTATAGGGCTTCTTGGTGCAGGGAGCTGATTTGATCTTAAAACTTGCAGGGGGTTGGATCTGAGTCAGAAGCAAAGAGCAGCTGTAGCAAGGGAAGCAAGGGTAGCCAGGGTAGCAAGGGACGGCAGTGCCTCAACCCTCTGAGCTCCAGCCAATGGCTTCCGACAGACTCTCTCCACCTGACATCCCTTTTACGACTCCATCAATGTGCCCAACCTAATCAAAGAGACTCCAACCTTAGACATTCTACAAAGTGCATTGGTGAAATTATTAAGGCCACTCCACGTAGTTAGAAGGGAGATATATTTAATGGCGTAACTTACAAATGAAGGGATAGGTAGGCTTCGGGTTCTGTGGAAGACGCAGTGCAGTCCGGTTGTGTTTTCTGGAGAACTCTCCTCAGTCTACCTCTAGTGTCCAGGGTCCAAGAAGCAAGAGAGCACAGTGCATCCCGATCTCGGGTCTTCAGGGCCCTCCCTTCTCCCCGCCTTGTAGCCTCAGTGGGGGTTGAAACTTCCAGACCAAAGCTGGAATGGCTACCCACTACAAAAGTGAGCTATATAATTTAGAAATACAGTGTCCTATACCTTTACATATATACCTTAGCAGTTTAATAGAAATTTTATGTGTAGAAGTGTCAATATATGGATTTGTTTTATCTTACTTTTTTTATTTCATGTTGCTTGGTCAGTCCCACTTAACAAAACTGATGATCATTTATTAGCATGTATCTTTTCATTGTAATAAACTCTTAGATAACTAGATCCATGCCTGAAAGTGAAAGAAATCTTTCAAAATGTGTTCAACAAGACTTTGAAGTGGGGAAAAATCCACAGAATACCACAGAGCATTGTTGGAATACCTTAAGCATTAAAGCTGCCATAACTATTTTTAAAACCAGCTTTCCTATGAATGAATGCACTATGCTGCTTAGATTTGTCATGTCCTGCCCTAGAGACAGTCCCCTTTGCTCAGTCTTCCACGTTTACACGAAGGGGCAATTCAGTGCTGCAGGGGGACAGTTGGAATTTTGGCATTGAACAAATCATGATTAGAATCTCAGTAGTCATGCAGGCAGTTTTAATTGTGCTGAACCACACATTTCCTGTTAAAACTGGAGAGATTACATTTTCTACTAAGACTTGAAAAATTCTAAAAGACAATGTGTGTTGGACACATGGAAGCATATGGGAGATATTAAGAAGGGGTCATGGGGGTTGGGGATTTAGCTCAGTGGTAGAGCGCTTGCCTAGCAAGCTCAAGACCCTGGGTTCGGTCCTCAGCTCCAGAAAAAAAAAAAAAAGAAAAAAGAAGGGGTCAGGGAAAGAAGTGTGTGTGGTGGTGGTAGGTATCTAAAAAACAATGAACATCTAAAAACTAAAGTATGTCAACTTATTCATTTATGTGTCCAGGTGACCTACTTATAATGGGGTTGTTACCCTATGAACTTACCATAAAGGAAAAATACTAAGATGGAAAGCCATTTGATAAACCTAACCTGATTGAATGCCACAGTTTAATATCACAGTACACTACAGAACGTGGGTACTTCACCCCTGTGACTTCATGGCTGACCCTAAGCTGCAGCTCACTGTGATCTCCCTTCAGGAGCTCATACCATGCACTCCTAGCTGGGGAAATATCGGGATTCAAAACACCAAGTACAAAAATGATACAATACCTTTCATAATCATAAAAGGAAAAACTTGGAAAATCAGACCCCCATAAGTTGGACTCTCTGGGCATGGTCACCCAGTCTCTGTTAGGTGCTGTGCTCTTCTGGATGTTTAGAGGAAT